TCATTAGAAAACCCTTTTGCAATTATGTTAGCACAGCTAAAAACAGTTGTGCTGATTAAAGAAGCAATAAAACTGGCCTTCTTGAGACTTGTTGAGTATCTGTAGCATTAGCAATTGTGGGTTCGATTACAGGCTCAAAATGGCCAGAAACAAATAACTTTCTTCTGAGACTCGTTAGTCTATTCTTGTTCTGAGAAATGAAGTCTGTTCTATACAAGAAATTGCCAAGAAACTGAAGATCTCGTACAACGCTGTGTACTACTCCCTTCACAGAACAGCACAAACTGTCTCTAACCAGAATAGAAAGAGGAGTGGGAGGCCCCGGTGCACAACTGAGCAAGAGGACAAATACATTAATGTCTAGTTTGAGAAACAGGCACCTCACAGGACCTCAACTGGCAGCTTCATTAAATAGTACCCGCAAAACACCAGTCTCAACGTCAACAGCGAAGAGGCGACTCCGGGATGCTGACCTTCTAGGCAGAGTTGCAAAGAAAAAGCCACATCTCAGACTGCCCATCTTAATCTTTTATTTTTATTGGCCAGTCTGAGATATGGCTTTTTCTTTGCAACTCTACCTAGAAGGTCAGCATCCCGGAGTCGCCTCTTCGCTGTTGACATTGAGACTGGTGTTTAGCGGGTTCTTTGTTTCTGGCCATTTTGAGCACTAGTCTCAAGAAGGCCAGTTTTATTGCTTCTTTAATCAGCACAACAGTTTTCAGCTGGGCTAACATAATTGCAAAAGGGTTTTCTAATGATCAATTAGCCTTTTAAAATGATAAACTTGGATTAGCAAACACAACGTGCCATTGGAACACAGGACTGATGGTTGCTGATAATGGGCCTCTGTATGCCTATGTAGATATTCCATTACAAATCAGCCGTTTCCAGCTACAATAGCCATTTACAACATTAACAATGTCTACACTGTATTTCTGATCAATTTGATGTTATTTTAATGCACTAAAAAATTGCTTTTCTTTCCCCAAACTTGTGAACGGTAGTGTATAACTTACAGCAATTATAAATGAGCCTCTGTTTGCCATCGCAGCCACAAAACCAACACAGCTCATTCATTCAGAGGGAGTGTCGCTGTCCATGGTGCTGAAACACTCTGCCTCTATAAACCAGTCGGATCGAAACAGAATCACGCACAACACCCATTACAGACAGTAACAACAGAGATTACACGGTCTCTGAGGATTACAACCAACAGTGTCAAATCATTCAGCTATTTCGAAATCATAGCGAAATCACATAGCAAATTATCCTAACTTGGATATATCTACAGGATAGAACAATTATGCTGTTTTGTTGAATGCTGAAATTATTTCGACCTGACAAAACACTGTTTGAATTCTAAGTGTCACTCCGACTTCAGTTGTACAGCACAGTTAGTAACTATTTATTTACTGGCTTTAGTACGTGACATATGGAGTCTCAAAATTAACCTACCATTATATTCCGTCATTGTAAAGGAAACTACTATCAGAAGAACAAGCTGAGATTTGGTAAATGTTGAAACACAAAACACACATTTTTTGTAGATATGTATGTTAATACTATACGTCACAAAACAGTCTACATTCGAATATCATAATCGTCACAATCAACTACAGTTCACTGCTCACCTGCTGGCTCTCAAAGATCCAGGCGCTGTCGGGTAAAGACGCGTCTAGAACGTTGATCATCTCCTTAAGGTCAGTGGTGCTGCTGGGCTTAACGAAGGTGAAATCACTGAACTCTGACATGGGAGAGAGACAGGACCTGAAGGATTGACTCTGAGACAACATGTCCCCTCCCAGGACCTCCACGTACTTAATAGGTCCGTCAGTGTTGAGCTGGATCTGCAGGTTTCTGTTGGGGTTCTTGTAGCCGTCCAAGTCGTCCCGTCTCATGCAGCAACTACCGCTGCTTCTGCTGTATCTAACGCACTTCACCGCTAAGATGCCGAAAGTCACCAGAGACAGCACGGACACCGAGGCCAGAGAGAGGATCAAATACAGGGTGATTCTCCCGCTTTTCTTGCTGGGCTCTGGCGCTTTCTGCCAAAGGTCCAAGATGGGTTCGTGTAGCCCGTCCTCTACCAATATGGCCACTGTGACCGTTGAAGACTGGACCGGTTCCCCGTCGTCCTTTATCTCTATAAGCAGCCTCTGAGAGGAGTCATCCTGCTCGGACACAGCGCGTTTAGTCCTCACCTCTCCTGTGTAAAGATTGACACTGAACAGAGACGCGTCTGTGGCCTCCGCCAGCTTATACGAGAGCCAGGCGTTATGGCCCGAGTCTGAGTCCACGGCTGTTACCTTAGTAACCAGGTGGCCTGCTTTAGCGGAGCGTGGCATCTTCTGGTGCGAGAGCGAGCCCAGGGCAGCGGAGGGGTAAATAACGGCGGGGGCATTGTCGTTCTGGTCCAGGATAAAAACATGGATAGTGGCGTTGCTGCTCAGAGAGGGAGAGCCGTGGTCCTTTGCCTGAACCAGAATCTGAAACACCTTCAGTATCTCATAGTCAAACGAGTGCATACTGTAGATGCTGCCGTTATCAGAGTTAATGTACACATAGGAGGAGACAGACACGTCCTGCACTTTGGAGTCTAGGATGGAGTAGGAGATCTTGGCATTATCCCCGAAATCCAGGTCAGATGCGGATACTGAGGAGAGCATGGAGCCTGGTAGTCCATTCTCTTTGAAATAGACATTATAGGAGGGTTGAGTGAATTTAGGGGGGTTGTCGTTGACATCAATGATACTGACAGGTATAGTTTTCTTGGTAGTCAGGGAAGGGGAGCCCGAATCAGTGGCTGTTATCTCAATATTATACTCTGAGAAGCTCTCTCTGTCTAAAACACCACTGGTGACCAGTGCGTAATTGTTAGAAAACGACGGTTTCAGATTAAAAGGATAGCCTCTAGGGAGGTGTAATGTTACTTTACCGTTATTCCCGGAGTCTAGGTCCCGGGCACTGATCAAAGCCACTACTGTGCCACTGGGTGCGTCTTCGCGCAATGGACTCGGCTTGGAGGTCAAAATTATTTCAGGAGGGTTGTCGTTTACGTCAACTACCTCCACCTGAACACTACATTGTCCCTCCATTTCCGGAGTGCCGTTATCTTTTGCACTGATATCAATTTCATATGTAGCAGCATTTTCAAAATCTAATTCTCCTTTCAAAAACATCTCCCCTGTGTCTGAATCAATATCAAATATAGAAAGCACAGCATCGGGGGTGCGCTCACCAAATGAATACTTCACCTCCCCATTTTGACCATCGTCTATGTCTATCGCTTTAAGTTTTACCATAAAAGTACCTTTTGGACTATTTTCGTTCATGGAAACCTTGTACAATGCCTTTTCAAACACTGGACAATTATCGTTTACATCAAGCACTGTAATAGTTATCTGTGACATCCCGGATCTGACAGGATTCCCCCCATCTAGTGCTGTTAATAGTAGCTGATGGACAGGTTTTTTCTCTCGATCTAGAGGTTTTTCTAATACTAACTCTGGGACTTTTCTTCCATTACTAAGGCCTTTTACATTTAAACTAAAGCAGTCGTCTTTACTAATAGTGTAAGACTTTAGTGCGTTACTTCCCACATCTTGGTCCTCTGCGCTCTCCAAAGAAAATCGCCTGCCTACAACAACAGATTCTGCTATTTTCAACGTGAGTTCTTTTGTTATAAAATTAGGTGAATTGTCATTTATATCTCGTATTTCCACCTCAATTCGATGCAACTGTAACGGGTTCTCAATGACAACCTGCAGAGGTAAAACGCAGCTAGCGCTTTGTCCGCATAAAGTCTCTCTGTCTATTCTCTCATTGACGACCAGCTCGCCCTTCCCCGCATCCACACTGATATACTGCTTACCAGCCTCAGCCGCGACACGCAGTTTACGGTCAAAAATCTCAGATAGTCCCAAACCCAGATCTTTGGCTAGATTTCCTACTACAGAGCCCTGTTTCAGTTCCTCCTGGGATGGTGTAGCGAGTCTGTCCGTCTATTGTACTCCACAAGATAACGGAATGATGCCACCAAAGAGCCAGCCATCTCCAGTCCCGGTATCCCATTCTCTTTGTCATCCCTGATCCGTTATAACACAATTCCCACTTAAATACTGTCCAGAACAAAGAGCTTCATATCAAAATGCCTCTCCAGAATACATATTTCATTTAGCATTATTTCGTTAATTTTGTATCACGATAAGGATGTGTTTAGATTATGTTGTATCTCCGTGTGTATGAGTGCATCCCTGTCTCTTCTCCAGCTCTGAGTAGTGTAAGGTTTACGGTGCTGAGGCTGGGGGGAGGGAGTAGATCTCTTTGTACAGTTCTGCATACTATTGGTGCACAGCGTGCATCTCTAACACCCAATGAAGGGCCAAAAGAACAAGCTTCTTAAAGCCACAGCAGCCAGGCGCTGCCTATGCGCTCTGACACAGCACACAGCAGACAGACACAGACACAGACACAGAGAGCGCGAGAAGGACTGTATTTTCCATTAAATAATAATACACTGTCCATATTGATGTGAAAAATATTATGGACAGTCCAAAGGTACGTTATATTTCAGAATTCATAAATGTGTGAAGCAGGGTCGGAAATATAGTGTGACTTTGCGCACAGATACCAAAACATTGGCATTACAATAGAGCCCCTTGCATGGAAGAAAATACATTTGACTAGATCTATTATAGATTACATAAAATAATAACTGAGTGGCAATCAGAAAAATATATATATCTCAAAATATCTCTCTACATTCAGTGTCCCAGTTATTCATTATTTATGAACCAACATTTGTTCTAAATCTCACCATCAACCTATCATGATATACTTATTCCATCATGCATACATGAAAATACTGCTAAAATAACAAGCATTGATTTGTGGAATGTTGAAACAAGAAAGCGTAGACATGCAAGTTTTGTAGGCTTGTTTGTTGATATACGTCACAAAACAGTCTATATTCTAAAATATTGTTCATCACAATCAACTAACTACACGTCACCGCTCACCTGCTGGCTCTCAAAGGTCCAGGCGCTGTCGGGTAAAGACGCGTCCAGGACGTTGATCATTTCCTTAAAGTCAGTGGTGCTGCTGGGCTTAACGAAGGTGAAATCACTGAACTCTGACATGGAAGAGAGACAGGACCTGAAGGACTGACTCTGAGACAACATGTCCCCTCCCAGGACCTCCACGTACTTAATAGGTCTGTCAGTGTTGAGCTGGATCTGCAGGTTTCTGTTGGGGTTCTTGTAGCCGTCCAAATCGTCCAGTCTCATGCAGCAACTACCGCTGCTTCTGCTGTATCTAACGCACTTCACCGCTAAGATGCCGAAAGTCACCAGAGACAGCACGGACACCGAGGCCAGAGAGAGGATCAAATACAGGGTGATTCTCCCGCTTTTCTTGCTGGGCTCTGGGGCTTTCTGCCGGAGGTCCAAAATGGGTTCGTGTAGCCCGTCCTCTACCAATATGGCCACTGTGACCGTTGAAGACTGGACCGGTTCCCCGTCATCCTTTATCTCTATAAGCAGCCTCTGAGAGTCGTCGTCCTGCTCGGACACAGAGCGTTTAGTCCTCACCTCCCCTGTGTAAAGATTGACACTGAACAGAGAAGCGTCTGTGGCCTCCGCCAGCTTATACGAGATCCAGGCGTTATGGCCCGAGTCTGCGTCCACGGCCGTTACCTTAGTAACCAGGTGGCCTGCTTTAGCGGAGAGGGGCACCTTCTGGTGAGAGAGCGAGCCCAGGGCAGCGGAGGGGTAGATAACAGCGGGGGCATTGTCGTTCTGGTCCAGGATAAAAACATGGACAGTGGCGTTGCTGCTCAGAGACGGAGAGCCGTGGTCCTTTGCCTGAACCAGAATCTGAAACACCTTCAGTATCTCATAGTCAAAAGAGTGCATACTGTAGATGCTGGCGTTATCAGAGTTAATGTACACATAGGAGGAGACAGACACGTCCTGCACTTTGGAGTCTAGAATGGAGTAGGAGATCTTGGCATTATCCCCCAGGTCTGGATCAGTAACGGAGATTGAACATAATATTTTTCCCGGTGTGTAATTCTCTTTTACATACACTGTGTAGGAAGGCTGAGAGAATAGCGGTGGATTGTCATTCACATCAAATACATCAACAGTGATTGTTTTCTTGCTGGATAAAGGTTTTTTTCCTGAATCACTAGCACTGATCTCTATACTATACTGGGAGTGACGCTCACGGTCAAGAGGCGCGTTAATTACCAGTGCGTAATGCTTGGGTATGGACGGGTTCAATTTGAATGGAGACTTTGGTGACACATTCAACCTCACCTTCCCATTGTCTCCTGAATCTGGGTCTTTAGCGCTTATCAAAGCTATCACTGTCCCAATAGGTGAATCCTCCGGAACATGAGTACTTAGAGACGTCACAATTATCTCTGGGATATTGTCATTGACGTCAGTTATTTTAAGGTCAACACCACAATGCCCATCCATCTCTGGGTTGCCTTTGTCTTTAGCAATAACGTCACATCTATGTGAATACGTTTTTTCAATATCTAGTTCACCCTTTACTATAATCACCCCAGTTAAATGGTCCATTTCAAATAATGTTGCCACTGAGTCTGGCGTTTGATCGACAAAGACATACTCGATATCCCCATTATGTCCTTCATCTGGATCTGTCGCTTTACATGTAAAATCACAGTGCCAGGAACTGCATTTTCGTTAACACTAGCCTCATAAAGCTGTCTCTCAAACAGTGGTGCGTTATCGTTAATATCAAGCACAGTAATACTAATCTCAAAGGTTCCTGAACGCACTGGATCACCCCCATCTACAGCGGTGAAAATCAGCTTGTGAACAGACTGCTTCTCCCAGTCAAGACATTTTGGGAATTTTGTCCCATCCATGTGGTTTTTGACATTCAATTTAAAATGTTCGTTTTTGTTAATGCTGTAAGAGAGTAGTGTATTTGCAGCTACATCAGAATCCAGTGCGCTTTCGAGTGGAAATCGTGCGCCTGGGTTTGCTGACTCTGCAATCTTCAACACCTTTTCTTTGGTAAGAAAACAGGGAGAATTGTCATTAATATCCTACATTTCAATCTTGACTCGGTGCAGCTGCAAAGGATTTTCTATCACTACTTCCAAAGGCAATAGACATGGAACTCTTTGTCCACACAGATCCTCTCTGTCTATCCTCTCACTGACGACCAGCTCTCCTTTCCCAAATCCACTCTGAAATACTGCTTACCAGCCTCCGAGGTTATCCGTAATTTACGATGGTAAATCTCAGATAGTCCCAACCCCAGATCTTTGGCTAGATTTCCTACCACAGAGCCCTGTTTCAGTTCCTCCGGGATGGTGTAGTGAGTCTGTCTATCTATTGTACCCCACAAGAGAAAGAAATGATGCCACCATAGCAGCACCTGCCACAAACCCAGTCTATTCCACATTGTTCCACGACACATCAAAACCTTTAGATTATTTCATCCAAGATTTGCCCTCTTGCAGGAGTGGTAATAATCAATCGGTAAGCTAATGTATAATATTTTACAGTGATGGGACGCTTTGTGTCTATGCGCATCCTTCTCTCTCCTTCAGCTCTGAGCATTGTAAGGGTTACAGTTCTGAGGCTGGGGGGAGGGAGTAGATCTCTTTATAAAGTTCTGCACGCTGTTGGTGCACAGCATCTAATACGAGCTACCGATCAGGATTTAGTAGTTATTTATAGCTACAGTGAAAATATTAGCGCGTGGGAAACAGATGAAGCACCATAGCAATTCAACATGAGAAAACACAGTACTCCATTTCATGTGTAATACTATTAGTACTGCTACTCTACTATTTCTATTACTCACTATTAGTAGCCGATAATGATCTATTATCATTATCAGCTGATGAAGATGTCATATTAGAATTTAAATGTTATAATTAAATTGTTATAAATTAATTACAGATGGAATGCTAGTATGTGCACAGCTGTACTATAAATCATTGCAGAGTTAAAATAGGTATTAGAGGTTGTAATGTGGTGGTTATACAACTCTAGGTATCATTGTCTTTATCCCCACCATCTCAATGCTTTCTGATGTCTGTGTGGGAGACAAAGGCTCTCCGTTGCCGTCCTGTGGTAAAAGAAAGCAAGCGCAGCATGAGCACGTCATCAGAGAAACCCACGTGGCTCCGAATAATAATACATCCCACAGCCATCTAAAATTCTCTCTCTCTCTCTCTCTCTCTCTCTCTCTCTCTCTCTCTCTCTCTCTCTCTCTCGCTCTCGCTCTCGCTCTCTCGCTCTCTCACGCTCGCTCTCTCACTCACTCACAAACTTACTTCACTGCCCCATTTCCATGACATTAACTAATTACCTGAGAGCTGAATAGACCGCCCTAATATTTTTGATTAGGACATATTCTTCTGACAAAAAAAAATGTTGGTCGACCACGAATCGGGTTTTGGATATAAAAGGGTTGCAGGACTACATATCATCCCTCAAGGTCTGCCTAGCAACAGCGGCGTCTGACGGAATTATTTATACCCGCAATGAAAAGAAAGCAAAACCTCCAGTGGAAATAAACGCTATACTAGTATACAAATCACAAGCTGTAGCTTACATCATATCACAATACTACAACGAATGTATCTAAATATGAAAACAATATATCAGTTTTGATATTAGATAATCCGAGTTTGACAGAACGACGGAGGTAGGGAGAGCGAGACAGTGAGGGAGAGCGAAACAGTGAGGGAGAGCGTGACAGTGAGGGGGAACGAGACCGTGAGGGGGAGCGAGCTTCCACTGTGCTCTAGAATGCGTTTCAGCACCACGCGGGTGGACAGCTCCACACAAGCGGCCAGCTCGCGCTGCTGCACGCTGCTGAAATGTGGGCGACCGCGTGGCGGCTGCTGCACAGACACAGTCCCGAGTCCTTCCCAAAGACTTTCGAAAATACAACAACATACCCTTGCTACCCTCCTCTTCTCGCTCGATTCAAATAGAAAAACGTTCTGCCTTGATAAACAATCAAAATGTTTTCCAATACCATAATTTTGATCAAGCAAATATAATAATAATAATACGCCATTTAGCAGACGCTTTTATCCAAAGCGACTTACAGTCATGCGTGCATACATTATTTTATTTTTTTTTGTGTATGGGTGGTCCCGGCGATCGAACCCACTACCTTGGCGTTACAAGCGCCGTGCTCTACCAGCTGAGCAATAGAGGACCGCTTTTTTCATTTTGTTTTATAAACCTATTGTTTTAACTGCACTGCCAAATCAGGTGCCGAAAGCTGTTATTGCAGGCTACATACGTCAGAGCATGCTTACGTCTAAAAACATTTAGTAATGAAGGATAGATATCGTGTTTGAACATCCATCACACTCTGATAATTGTCAGGTTCGTTCTGACGTGCCAACACGGAGTCATTATAGAGATGTAGTTTACTGTCATCTATATGTCCTTAAAGACTGTCTCTCTACATTGCAACTCTTTCAAAGGTATCTGCCAACATATAGAATCTGGTATCCACACAACATCCACTCATATAATGAAAGGCTCCAGCCTTATATTCAGCCCCTTTCCTTTGTGTGGAACTGTGAATTGCATGTCAATGTATGGTTTATTATGTGCAAATGATATACAGTACATCTTCCCAGCTACTGATGGAATAACACTCAGTCACTCAGTGCTGGGTGCCACTGCATATATGGATCATAAAGGTGCTTTGATGTCTTTGTCAGATTCTATTAGGTCATTTCAGTCAGTAAGGTCATGGAGGTGTGTACTGTAGGTGAGTTGTGATGGTGGAGTCATTCTAACTTAAAGTATTTCTTACCTTATTTGGAGAGCCGGGGGAGTAACAGAAGACGTTTCAGCAACAGCAGAGAAGGAGAGACATGGAAGAGAAGAACAGTGAGACAAAAGAGACGTGGGTTAGCACACAAAGAATGTCTTGGGACAGACACATCCCTGATACTTACCGTTCACCTTACAATGGCAATGTACCCTTGGTTGACTCCAGAGTGGGTGATTGTGTTGATATGCATTGTGACATTTGGCCAAATGATGATGTTCCCAAAGCCGATCTGCTAGGTGAACTGTTTGTGTGTGTCAAAGAAAGGTGGGCTAATATCAAAACATTACAAAGAATAAAACCACATTCAACCAAATATAAAATCAGATATAATATTGTGTTTTTTGATGTGTCTGTTATATGTGCGGTGTGCTTCTTTGTTCAGAGAGAGAGAGAGAGAGAGAGAAATGAGAGAGAGAGGAGAGATACACGAGAGAGAGAGAGAGAGCGAGAGACAGCGAGAGAGGACAGATCCCTACAAGAATCTGAAGTCAAATGTCTACTGTTTGCTGATGATCTAGTGCTTCTGTCCCCAACCAAGGAGGGCCTACAGCAGCACCTAGATCTTCTGCACATATTATGTTAGACCTGGGCCCTGACAGTAAATCTCAGTAAGACAAAAATAATTGTGTACCAAAAAAAGTCCAGTTGCCAGGACCACAAATACAAATTCCATCTAGACACCATTGCCCTAGAGCACACACAAAACTATACATACCTCGGGCTAAACATCAGTGCCACAGGTAACTTCCACAAAGCTGTGAACGATCTGAGAAACAAGGCAAGAAGGGCCTTCTATGCCATCAAAAGGAACATAGAATTTGACATACCAATTAAGCAAAAACTACTTGAATCAGTTATTGAACCCATTGCCCTTTATCGTTGTGAGGTCTGGGGTCCGCTCACCAACCAAGAATTCACAAAATGGGACAAACACCAAATTGAGACTCTGCATGCAGAATTATGCAAAAAATATCCTCTGTGTACAACGTAAAACAAGAGAATTATGCATGCAGAGCAGAATTAGGCGGATACTTGCCAATTATCAAAATCCAGAAAAGAGCCGTTAAATTCTACAACCACCTAAAAGGAAGCGATTCCCAAACCTTCCATAACAAAGCCATCACCTACAGAGAGAGGAACCTGGAGAAGTCCCCTAAGCAAGCTGGTCCTGGGGCTCTGTTCAAAAACACAAACGGACCCCACAGAGCCCCAGGACAGCAACACAATTAAACAATTAATTTCATGAGAAAACAAAAATATAATTACTTGACACATTGGAAAGAATCAACAAAAACAGAGCAAACTAGAATGCTATTCAGCGCTAAACAGAGAGTACACAGTGACAGAATACTTGACCACTGTGACTGACCCAAAATTAAGGAACGCTTTGACTGTGTACAGACTCAGTGAGCATAGCCTTGCTATTGAGAAAGGTTGCTGTACGCAGACCTGGCTCTCAAGAGAAGACAGGCTATGTGCACACTGCCCACAAAATGAGGTGGAACCTGAGCTGCACTTCCTAACCTCCTCCCAAATGTATGACCATATTAGAGACACATATTTTCTTCAGATTACACAGACCCACAAAGAATTCGAAAACAAATCAAACTCCCATATCTATTGGGTGAAATACCACATGTGCCATCACAGCAGAAATATGTATGACCTGTTGCCACAAGAAAAGGGCAACCAGTGAAGAACAAACATCATTGTAAATACAACCCATATTTATGTTTATTTATTTTCCCTTTTGTACTTTAACTATTTGCACATCATTACAACACTGTATATATACATATGACATTTGAAATGCCTTTATTCTTTTGAACTTCTGTGAGTGTAATGTTTACTTTTAATTTTTTGTAGTTCATTTCACTTTTGTTTATTATCTATTTCACTTGCTTTGGCAATGTAATCATATGTTTCCCATGTCAATAAAGCCCTTAAATGGAATGGAATTGAGGGGGGATAGGGAGGGGAAGACTTAATAACAGAGAAATACAACACCCTTATTGACCCAGTCCCTGTATAACAGGAGTGTGAGCAGTGGAGTATATCATCTGCATGTCCCAACCAGGATGCTGATAGCACCATTTAAAGAGGACTGAGTGTGTGTCCGATATGGCCCCTATGGGAACCTGGTCCAAAGTAGTGCACTGTATAGGGAATAGGAGCCATTTCAGACACAGTGAGTCCCTAGGGGGAGGTGTTCTGTCCCAGAGCTGCAGGATAACATCACTATGCTGCAGTACAGCACATTGCCATGCTGCAGAGGAACACTCCCTACACAGCAGCAGCAGGGGAACTCAAGGAGATGTCCAGGGATGATGTATTCTTTATTAATTAGATGATTTCACACTGTGTGTGTGTGTGTGTGTGTGTGTGTGTGTGTGTGTGTGGTAGATGAACAGACCTTGTGGTACTGTGTGTTAGATTAGATAATGACAAGGACATGGATAAACGCTATGAAACATACACACTCTGCACTGTGCACACACACAAGAACCAGTAATGTACCAATCAATAGAAATCAATGTATAGCCTAAAAAGGAAACAACCTCTACAGAGCCTTAAGGGTTACGGTTTGACAGCATTTTCACACTCACAGACAGAGCAACGGGGAGGTGAAACAGTGAGAGGCAATCAGGGCAGGGCAGCATCCATCTTACGGAAATGGAGAGGTAGAGCCTTCACTGTACTCCCTCCCCACCCTGTCATACGTTCTCTCTCTCCACTCTCCCCCACCAAT